AGGAGACTCGCTTGAGCCCAGGAGTTGGAGGTTGCTGTGAGCTGTAATGCCACGGCACTCTACCCAGGGAGACAGCTTGAGGCTCTGTCTCAAAAAAGAAAAAAAAAAAAAAAAGAAAAAGAAAAAGGACTCTTTCTTATAGCCTTGGTTGTAAAACCAGGTATGCCTCACTTCAAAGGCAAATAGACAAACTAACAAGAGAATGGGCTTGTTCCTGCAACCCTGCACACATTTGTTTATAGAATCTGAGTGTTAAAAATCAAAAATAAAGAGATGAGGTTAGAAAAAAAAAAAAATCCAGCCTCACTGTTTGGTCCTCAAACTTTTAATAAGTTTTGAACAATTTACTTGTTCAGTAACCCACCTCTTTCCCTTTGTTAATTTTATTAACAGTCCATCTTTAGATTAAGAATTGGCTTCAGGTAGCTTCTTCAGTAAACTAGCCACTTATTCAATTTAGTAACACAATAAAGAAGTATTTACTTCCATGAATAAAACACAATGGTAATCCCAAAACAGGCTGAAGATCTTACCAAGTGAGGGGCTGTGACAATACACCAGATAATCACACAGAATGGATGGCTCACTCGACTGGAAACTAAATACTGCTTTTTTCATGCTACAGTATAAAACTCAGCCTAGATCTAGGACAACGGAAAGATGTTACCTTCGGAAACGTTGGTATCCAATTCCTTCCTGATACTATTACATTACAAGCTGCATTCTTCTTGGCACTGGGACCAGGGCAAGGATTAGAATGACATGCAGTCTCCCATTTCATCTCCCCTCAATGTACTCTGGGCGTGGGGGGACCCAGGGAAGAAACGTGCAATGATGCTATTGTCCAGTTTGTTCCCAAGGCACGCTGGACACTGTTAACCAAGCCTGCTCCACAAAACCAGTTGTTCAAAGAAGTACAGAAGATGAGGAAATGGACACCTTTCCAACTACGGATGGTTTGATGCCAATTAACCAGGTTCAAAAACAAACAAAAAAAAACCCAGACAAGGAAAAGGCAGAACTGTGCAGACGGTAAAAAGATAACAGTGGCTGTCAGGGGGCAGGATGAACTAGCAGGGCACAGAGGATTTTTAGGGCAGTGAAACTAGTCTGTTCCATACTGTAATACATGTCATCACACATCTGTCCAGACCCACAGAATGTAAACTATGAACTTGGGGTGATAATCATGTGTCAATGCAGGTTTATCAGCTGTAACAATGTATCACTCTTCTAGGGGATGTGAATAATGGAGCAAGGTATAAATGAGTGGGGCAGGGGGTGGATGGAAAATCTCTTGTGCCTGCTGTTTCGCTATAAACGTGAAAACTGCTCTAAAAAAAATAAAAGTCTGAAAAGAATATCCTATACAATTTATCCTGGAATTCTCCTACCCCCCTATAATGGTTTAAATAAAATATATATCTGTCGGAAAACACTCCCCAGAAGAGAAAAATCTTTTCAGTTTCTTATTCCTTTCTTCTCTCATAAAGGAATCCCAGAAAATACCATTCTCTTAATACTTAACAAGAAACAACCCTTAAGATGTCCATAAATCTCAAAATTGCCAGGAAAGACCCGAGGAAACTCCCCTCAAAGCTTTCACTCAACTATCTTCTGAGCCCTCGGGGGCTGACCCAAGTGGCAACCTCAGGATTCAGTCATGCATTCCACTCTGAAATTTCTGTCTTTCCTCATCATTCACCCCGACTGCAAAGCATTTGCTCTGGAATTTCTTTAGAAAAGTGAGCAGTGATTTTAACAAAAGAATATGACACTGGATACTTGAAACGCAAACTCCTCCCTTGGAAATCTATCTAATACGAATTTTAGCCAAGGCTCTGCCAGACGCTATCCAGCTCTTGTTCAACTACCTGGAATTTCCTCCCATGAAATGTGGGTACCTGGAAAAAGAGGACATGTTTTAACTGGAATGCACTTTGGAAGTCTGAGTCTCTGTATCAGTGGAGGATGACACTTGCCACTGTATTTCCTAGGGATCAAGGAAAATCCTATCTTTTGCTTGTCTCCAAATCTCCCTCCATTTACCTTGAAAATCAGCTTTCCTAGAGAAGCTACCAGGTTAAGCAAATGTTCAGCCAAATGAGAAACAAATAAACTCAAAAACTGACTTTCAAACACACCATGGAGGAACCGTGCCCCCTTTCTGTCCACTTACCTGGGAAAGCGTGGGGATTAGGGGACCCTCTCTTAAGGCACTTAGAACAGAGAATGTGCACAGTGTAGTGCAGTCCAGGCCATTCCTGAAGCAGGACATTCAGTTCCTCCACCAAAGGGGTTATGGCTTGCCACGCGGTCCATATATTTGGTAGGGAAGCATGGCTGGCAATGGACAGGGTGTCTGGTTGCAGGACCCCCTTGGCAGGTCTGTAACTCACTACCACAGGAACTTTCCCTCTGTATGCAAAGATCTGAAATTTACCATCCGACCTGTGCACCACGTGGCTGTTGATCTGGACACTATAGCGGGCAAACAACCCAGGCGGGAAGGTAAAGGGAAAGCTGTATTCAATCTGCAACTGCTCAGCCACAAATGACTGCCCGGCCAGGTTGGTCCCGTTGATCCAGGCCTCTGCGTGGGGCACCTCGTTCTGCACATAGCAAGGGAATTTGTACCAGGCGGTGGACCCATTCAAAGGCTTGCCCTTGGGTTTATTGAGGCAGTAACAGAGGCCCATCTTTTCCAGCAGTTCCAGCAGCAGCTGCAAGTCCTGCGGTGCCTGGACGTGAGGCTTAAGCAGCAACCGAATGACATGGGCCGGCAAGAGCCCGTGCAGCAGAAAGCCCTCCACATAGTGATGGAGCTGGGTGGCCCGGAGCAGGTCCTGAGCAGGGGCCGGCAGCGCCACGGTGGCCGACCTTTCCTCCTCTGCCTCCGCCTCCCCACTGGTCCCTAGGAGCAGCTTATGCAGCAGCAAGGAACCGTCCCTCTGGAAAAAGACATTGAGGATGTCGATGAGGCGGGTGAGGTTGTGGAAGACGTGCTCCTTGAGGGCCGGGCTGTCCTCAAAGTAAAGCAGCTTGCCGCTCTCATGCAGGTAGGAGAGGGCGCTCTGAAGCCGGTCCTCGGTCAGACCCGCCTGCAGGCCCAGGCGCGCAGAGTCCCACCAGCTTAGCCAAAGTCGCTGTGCCTGAGGAGGCTGGAAGTGCAGTTCTTCCAACACCTGCCAGGATCGAGGCAGGACCCTATGCAAGTTGGGGAAGATCTCTCGGTGCTCAGCTACGGACAGCAGCTTGTCCCGAAGGCGCTGCAGCTGGCGGGGATCCTTGCAGCTAACAGGCAGCACAGGGGAGAGGATTTGCAGCCTGTGGTTGAGCAGGTACTGAAAATGGGCCTTGCGCCGCCTAAGGTTCTTGTCAGAAACGCCATAGTAGGCCGCGTGGGGACTGGCGCAGCGTAGCTCAAAGTCCCGGGCCAGCGCCTCGTCCACCACCTGGGCGAGGCGGCTCAGCCCCTCTGCATCGTGCTTCTCCTGCAGGGCGATCTGGCGGTGAATGTCCAGACACTTCTCCTCCAGCTCGCGCTCCCCGCACAGGTCTGCGTGCGTGCCCACGATGCACACCACGGCGTGGGGCACCCTCGCCCCCATGCGACGCAAGAAGGAGCCCACGGTGGAGGGAAAGCAGCGCGGCTCATAGGTGGCCAAGTTGACCACCAGCACGTACAGGGCCCCTGGGGAGAGGAAGAAGGGCTGGATGACCTCGTAACTTTCATCGCCAGCTAAGTCGTACACTACGAAGCGCAGGCCCCGGGAAGCATCGGCTGTCCAGCTGGTCACCTCAATGCCTTTGCTCACGGGGGGCGCCGAAGGTCGGTAGCTCCTGTCCTTGTCCCCTCCTCCTTGGCTTCCCTCCACTCTGTGCTCCGTGAGGCAATGGCGGAGCAAGGTCTTCCCTGCAGCCTTGTGGCCCATCAGGAGCAGCTTGAGGCGGGGCTGCACTGCCGGCTGGGAGTGGGCCAGCTCCTTCTGGTAGGCTGCGATGTACGGGATCCCCTTCATACAGACCTCGTAGGGGGGCTGGATGAGAGGGTTGTCCTTGATCTTCCACAGCCCCACCCGGGAGAGCTGGCCGAAGTTGTCAGGCAGAACTGCGATCTGGTTACCTTGTAGCACCAGCTCCTCTAGGCCAGTCAGCTCCACGATGGAGTCAGGCAGGTAGCGGATGCGGTTGTTGTCCAGCCACAGGGTGAGAAGCCGGCTCAGGCCGGCGATGAGGGACGGCACCGAGGTGAGCTGGTTGCGACTAAGGTAAAGCTCCTCCAGGCCAGCCAGGGGCAGCAGCGCGGCAGGGAACTCCTCGAGGAGGTTGGAGGACAGATTCAGCATTTTGAGCCGCTGCAGGCGGCTGAACTGGGCGGGCAGAGCCTGCAGCCCGTTGTTGTCCAGCATGAGGCTCTCCAAACTGGCCAGCTCGCAGAAGCCGGCGGGCAGTGTGCCAAGCTCGGCCCCGCTCAGCCAGAGTATCTTGAGGGCACGCAGGGCACTGATATCCTCAGGTAGGCCCTGCAGCCGGTTGCTGGACACGTCCAGCTCCTCCAGGGACGCCAGCTGCAGCAGCTGCCGAGGAAAGGCGGTGAGCTGGTTGTGGTCCACGTCGAGGGTGCGCAGGCGGGACAGGCAAGAGAAGGAGTCCGGCAGGTGCGCCAGCCGGTTAAAACTGACGTCCAGCTCCTCCAGCTGGGCCAGGGTGCCCAGCTGGGTGGGCAGGGCGGGCAGCTGGTTGTGGCTGAGGTTGAGCTTGCGCAGCTCCCTCAGGGCACTCACCACCTCCGAGCCCAGGGTGGTCAGCCGGTTGTGGCTCACGTCCAACTCGGTGAGGTGGTGGCCGAGCTCGGCCACCGCGGGGGGCAGCCGGGCGAAGCGGTTCCTGCGCAGGACCAGGACGCGCAGGCTGCCCAGCGCCGACCCCAGCCCGTCGGGCACCTCCTCCAGGCCGTTGTTCCCCAGGTTCAGCACCTCAATGTCCCCGATGTTGGCCGGCAGCACTAGCTGAGGAGAGTCGGGGGACTCGAGCGGGTCGACTCCGGCCCCGGGGCAGCCCCCGGCCGCGCTAAGGGTGAGCTGGCGCAGGTTGCTCCGCAGCTTCCTGGCGCGCAGGGCGGCGTCCCGCCACAGCCTCACGGTCTTCAGGTTGCCACTGTCCTTCCCCGCCATGGCGGGGCCCCGGGCCGACACCCTCGCGCGGGCGCGGGAGCCCACAGCTACATGCCGCGCTGCGCCCGGG